GACAAAGCAGGGGGGCCAGCAGATGAGAGTGTCAGGCAAGGGTGGTGTTTCAGGAGACACAAGAAAGTAACAGGCACAGGCTGGGGAAGGACACCTGTGACCAGGGAGCCAAGGACACCAGGTGGGGAGAGGAAGAGTGCCCCCCGTGTCCATGCTGCGTGCTGGTGCTGGGGTGCCCCATCTTGTTGGGGGCTGTCCGGGCTGCCACGCCTGGGGACTGCAGCCTGGGGGCTGGGTCATGTTGACAGTGTTCTGTAGCCACCACTGAAACTGCAGGGGGAGCATCCTACAATCTGTCCCCGCTCCCTCTCACACAGGGAGGGGACCAGGAAAGCTGAGAGACCTAGTCTGACTCCACAACAGGCCTCCTAGACAGGGTGAGGCACTGCTGGGGCTCTGAGAGCTAGCAGAGCTGGGCAAGGTGCCTTGATTGGAGGCTGACCAGGCTATCCAGGTGCCAGAAGTCTGAATCGTCAGGCCACAACAGGGCGGTCTGGAGGGTTAGGGTCTGGTCGTCTAACTGCCTTCCCCTTCACCCTGGCCATCTCCGATATTCTCTATGAACTTTCGGGAGAGTGAGCAAGCCTACCACCAGGCAGAAACCAGGCTGCGGGCTACTGGTGTGTCTCCGTCAGGACCAATTATGGGCTCTTGTCAGTTTGAGACTCAACCCTTAGATTCAACCCTTAGGTTATGTTTGTGCAGGTGGATGGCGGATGTGGCAGCAGGGACCTGGTGCCTGGTGGGATGGTAGCTGGACCTTCATCTGGGGAGGACCTTGGCAAGGACTGCAGGATCACCAGGAGGCTGGTGTTAGGGGCCGAGCATTTCCTTCTGATGGACGCCTCTTGGCCAGCGGGGGAGCAGGGTTGGTGAATGCCTACTCAACTCAGGGCTCTCTAAGCCCAAGACACAAAACTATTCATTCAAAATTGCTGGTGTAGGAAAAAATGTAGAGTGTGAAAAATACGACAAATTGAAAAACATCCCAATACTTCGAATACAAAACCATTCCACCATGATCAGAGCTCATGATCAGAGCTCCTCCTGACCACAGGAGGTCCCAAGCAAGCAAGGGACTCTGGGCTTCAGCTGGACCAGCTTCCTGGGAACCCACCGCTGCCCTCTATGGCCCCTAAAGGGACGCAGCAGACCCTGGTCCATCCCCTCAACTGGGGCCTTTTAAGGCTTGGCCCAGGCCCCCCACCACATCTGGGAGGGGACGGCCAGGGAAGGTTCCAGCAGTTCTGGGCAGGTTCAGCCCAGGGGTCTGGCACCAGCCGTCAGGGCCAAAGGCTTGGACCCAAACACCAACATGGAGCTTCCCCGGGGACTGGGGAGGGGTTGCTGTGAGCAACAGGTGTTCACCGAGGACCCACCATGCGCCAGCTCTGTGCCAGGGCAAGGGAGAATCCCCGTGAGCCACGCACACAGCCATGGTGGCGGTGGTCCAGGGTGGCTCCCGGGTGGCAGGCAGTTAAGGAGCCTCATGGCGGGTCGGGTTCCTCTCTCCCCGCTGGCCAGGCGCCCTCACAAGCTGGGGCAGCAGCCCGCCCTGAGCAAGGCATACAGCAGCCCACAGGCCACTGTCCCGGAACACCAGGTCACCTCCTGCTGGTCACCTTTGGTGACAAGGCAGGACTCCCACACCTCAGAGGGCAGCAAGACCAGGGGCTGTCCCAGGCAGTCCTCAGGACACACCCAGAAGCCGACTTCCACTTGTCAGGGGTCCTCCAGCAGGTGGGGCACATCAGAGGTTCCTCTTCTCTGGGGACAAGGCAAGAAGCATCCCCTCCCTTGTGTTCCCTTCCTGGGAGGCACCTGGAGGCCCAGAGGCACCTCTCACTGGCCCAGAGAGCCAGGTCCTCGCGGTCTGGCGGCGCCACCTGGTGGCAAGGTCGGGGAAGCGCAGGTCCGCCGCCGTCCAAGCCGCCCCTGCTGCTGTGAGCCCAGGGAAGAGGGTGGTGCCCCAGAGGATCCTCAGCACCTCACACACCTGGGACTCTGCGGGGCGGCGCCCAGCTGAACACCGATGCCGACTGCTCTTCTCCCCAGAGCCCGCTGGCACCGCCCCTGGGGGGCCCCCATGGGGCCTCCCGGAGGGGCTCCCTTCATCACCCTCTACCCATCCCTTTGGCTGTCACTTGGAACTCATCACTTAGCCCCTGAACTTCCTTTTCTTCTTTTTTAAAAAAAAAGGTGGCACTAGCAATACCTCTTGCCAGGCTGGCAGACAACTGGCCCGACACTTCACCACCGCTACAGCACTGCATGCCACCAAAGCTTTGATCCAGGCCCAGGGAGGGCAGAAATGAGCTGCAGGAGGGAAGAGGGCATTTCCCCAGAGTAGGAACACAGCAGGTGACCAATAAACGGCCCTCCTCCAGAGACCAGGAGTGGCTGGGCACCTTCTGGACCTCCTAATTCAGGAGGCTGAGTCTGGTAGAGCTGGGTCCTGCAGGGCAGCTGAGAGGATCCCCAAGTGAGGCCCTAACCCCCCCATCCCCCCCACCCACCCTGCAAGAAGCAGCCTCCTCCACACCAGGAGAGGCCCTGAGTTTGCAAGTGAGCAGGAATGGCACCCTGGGGGACTGAGGGATTCCAGTCCTGGGAGGCCTCACTGCCCAGAGGCCCTGCCCTGTAGCACCCCTTCCCACACTGGAATCCACCTCTTACCTTTCCTCAGGCTGCTGTCCCCATCACTGTTCCCACAGGGAGACGGCAGGTGGTTATTGCAATGGTTTCAAACCTGATTGAAGCATCAGAGTCACCTGAAGGGCGTGCTAAGCTCCAGCCTTGGGCCTCAGCAGGTCTCAGGTGGAAACTGAGAATCTGCTTCTCACAGTTCCCAGGTGCACTGGTGCTGCTGTCCACTGACCACTGACTTAGAGTCAGACTGGGCCTGGGTGTGAATGCTGGCTGCTTGGCCTCACTTTCCTCATCTGTAGAATGGAGACCATTGGACCTAACCCAGTGCTGCCAAGAGCATGGGGTTAGATGCTGCACAAAGGGTTGAGAGCAGGCTGAGGCACAGGGCAGGTGTGCAGAAAATGGAGGGTGCTGTCATGGCATTTGTGTGCCCTAAGGACCATGCAGAGTCCCATCCCCAGCTGACCCAGCAAAGTGGGGGTGGAAGGATTAAAAGGAGAGAGAACAATGAAGAGAGAAACATGGTGGTTGTATTTGTGCAGCTCAGAGTTTGGAGAGGACACAAAAGGCAAGCACCCCATTCCAGTCCTGTAACAGGGAAGCAGTGGGAGGATGGGGGACAAGAGTGACCACTCCAGGAGCCCAGGTCACTAGCTGGAGGGATCACAGGTGGAGGGAGCCTCAAGGCTAGTCTTCCTTCATCCCAGAGGGGAGACAGACATTCCACCCTGCTGCTCAGTGCTGGCCACACATTGGGACCACCTGGGGACCTTTGAAAACCCCAAGTCTAGACACACCCCAGACCACTGGCATCTGAGTCTTGGGATTTGCTATGGACTGAGTGCTTGTGTCCCCCAGGAGGCTTAGGTCTAAGTGCCAGCAAAGGTGGAGCCGCTGGGAGGCAATGGGTGGGGGGAGGTCATCAGGGTGGAGCTCTCAGGATGGGACTAGTGCACTCAGCCTGCTCTCAACCCTTTGTGCAGCGTCTCAGCCCATGCTCTTGGCAGCACTGGGTTAGGTCCAATGGTCTCCATTCTACAGAACAGGAGGTGAGCTTTGGTGACACATGTGTTCAGATGCTATGTCTGTATCCTGATGGACTATGGTTTGTTTTCATATTGTTGAGACTTTGTCGATTCTGGATGCTCATTTTTAATTGCATCTGTTTTGCAAATGTTAACCAAGCAAGAGGAAGGAAAGTGACCTGAGATCCCCCTGTGTGTGCACACACCAGGAAGAGGACCTCGCAAGACCTGGCCCTGCTGGCTCTGTCCTCACACATCCAGTCTCCAGAACCAGGAGAAGAAAACTGTGGCGATGGCACCCTGAGGTCACAGCAGCTGGTTACAGCAGCTGGGCTAAGATGAGGAAGGGGCCAGGCACCTGAAGTCCTTGATCCCCAGGTGTCAGTGTGAGTCCAGGGCTCCATGGAGGAAGGAACTCACCTTCCTGCACAGGAACAGCCCAAGAGGCGGGCATAGGAGGCAGGGCCAGGAATGGGCAGGATGTCACCCTGGGCCACTTCCTCAGAGCCAGGGAAGAAGTCTGACTAGCAAATGAAACAAGCAAATGGGCAGGACTTTGATTTGCATAGCGTGCAGCCTCAGGTCCATGTTTGCATAGGAACAGGAGTTGCCATGCCTCAGGAAGGGACTGGCTGAGGGCTCCCCCAGCCTGTCAGGAAGTGACTTCCAGGGTTCTGAGGATGACCCTGGCTCATCTTTGGATGCCCTGAGCCTGGACAATGGCCAGCAGCCCACGGGTCTAATAGCCCCTGGGTCCCACCAAGTGCTCTCCCTTGGGTGGCCAGTCTTGATGGCCTCAGGGTTCCAGGGGCTTTGCTGCATCTCAGCTGGGCTAATGTGCTTGGAGGATGCCGAGAAACCTCAAAAGCCCAGCACCTGGGACTGCTCCCCAAATCCCACTGGGGGTGCTCTGAGCCTTTGATGGATTTTTGTTCAGTTCCATGGCCTCAGCTAGGCCCTCAGGGGCTGGAGGGACAGAACATCTGATGGTTGTGGGGAAGAAGGGGAAGGTCAGAATGGAGGAGCCCTCTGAGAGCTGGTGCTCCACGCTGGGCAGAACCTGAGACTGAGCAGAGACCAGGTAGTCAGGGCCTTCCTTTGCTTTCCAAGGATCCTCCCAGGGTCTCCCCTGGGCCCTGCCCAGCAGCTTCCTCCACCATTCCCCAGGGACTCGCTGACTGAGCTCATGGGACCCAGGAGGAGTCTGAAGACTCTCCATTGAGGATGCAGTCAGGAGATGTTTCTAGTAACCAAGGAGGGAAACATCAAAGTCAGGAGCCCGCAGGTGCCACCATCAGGTCTCCTGCTGCCCAGATGTCTCCAGGACTCACTCTTTCATAAAGATTATTTTGCGAGAGTCATTTCTTAGGGAGGAGATCACCGGAAGTCCCAGTAGAGGAAGAAGCCAAACCAGGAGACGAACGAGGCCAGGGGACGGTGTGTCAAGGAGGACCTGAGGCTCATGTCCCCTGAGAGAAGGGGACAGAATACAGCACCCAGAGTGACCCCAGGCAGGGGCAGTGGAGCAGGGCACTGCATAGCCACCAGCTCCCTTTGGTCATTGAGTGATGCTCATGGAAGCATTTGGTCCTTGTCACTTGCAGCTGGCCTGACATGTACCCACACTTTAGGGACCAGAGATGGAGCACAAAGGGAGGCAAAGGGAGCTCTCCCAACAGGACGTAAGGACAGGGCACGAAGAGCATCCAGGCACAGGGCAGTGAATTCATGTGTCCCTCCCCCCACAGGAACTGGTCCAGTGTGTCCACCCACCCACGAGGGCATCAGGCTACACATACGGCCCACTCGGGGGACACCATCACATGCAATTAGAGAAGTGGTCCACATAGAATCCAGCAATCAGGATATGTCCCAGCCCCCATGCACTCAGTGACCTTGCCACCAAGTGGCATCAGGGGCGGGACAGGACTGCTCCTACATGCACTCATGCAGTCATTGGAGAGAAGGGGTTGCTAGGCCCCCTGTGCCCTCCCAGTGACGGTCAGGAGCAGCTCAGGAAGGTCTACATGGCTGAAAGTACAATTCTAATGACGAAGGGAGATAACCTTGGGTCACAGGGAACCAGTGAGAGCACTGGATACTTTCCTCCGCATGTGGCGGAGTTTTCTAAAAATGTGCACAAGAGATTACCTGCACTTGGGGTGAGGAAATGAAGGGCTTGTAGTGGATTTTGAAGGGCCACAAGGCCAAATTCAGCCTTCATGCAGGGCTTGTCCCCAAACCCCAAGGTCTCGATGACAGGCTTCAGTGTCACTGCTCAAACCACACTACCCCAAAACAAGGAGAGAAGCCAGCTCGCCTGTGTGTCTCTGAGGAGTGGACAGAGCCCTCACTTCCTAGGCAGGTGGCAGCACCTCCCTGTGGCCAGGCACAGCAGGCCGTCCCTGTACACGTGCAGGAGCCTGTTTTGCATCAGCTTGAAGGCGATGCACAGGATCTCCATCCCGATGATGATGTACAGGGAGAAGAACAGGAAGAAGGTTGGGTGGTCCAACTTGGTGTCCCCGAAGCCGATGGTGGTCAGTGTGATGAAGCAGAAGTAGAAGGCGCTCTCGAAGTTCAGGTTGGTCTCCCACATGGGGAGGATGGCAGCAGCACAGGAGATGTAGGCCAGGACCACCAGGGCGATGACAGGGAGGGGGACGTCCAGCCTCTCCACCTGGCACCCCACCTCGTCCAGGTTGCTGAGGATGGAGGCGGACAGCCTCCCCAGCGCCAGCTCTGGGCACGAGTTGCTCCTGTCCATGGTCCGTGGGGCCAGGGCCAGCAGGTTCTCTTTCTCTTGTGGGAAGAACAGACTCTTCAACAGCTCTGCGTGGCTGCCTGGGTCTGAGGGGCACTTGCTGGACTTGGGGCTGCGGGGATCTTCAGCGCTGATGACGATCCGAGGGACAGAGGCCACCCCTGGCTTGGCGATGGGCTTCCTCCTACAGCACAGTCCAGAGCACCACTCAGAAGGGGCGCGAGGGAAGAAAGGGAGTTTTCGGAACTGATTGTAGGACTTGGACAGGATGGTTGCCAGGATGTCCCCTATGTCCGTGAGAACCAGGAACATCAGGGGGATCCCAAAGAGGGCATAGAGCATGCACAGGTACTTGCCAGGCTTGGTGACAGGGTAGATGTGGCCATAACCTGAAAAAGACGATGAAGCCTGGGGTTCATTTCTGTTCCCAACACCCCCCACAATCTTTCAAGACACCCCTTCCGTTTCCTCTCCTTGGCCTGATGTTTACAATGTGTCCAATTCGTCCGTACCCACAGGAGACCCCAGCAGTTGGGTATGGGCTTAGCATGCACAGGGCCTGGGTTCAAGTCCCAGCACCAAACAGGAAGGAATGAAGGAAATTAAGATATGCTGCTCAAAGCCCTCGCCACCTGCTGGGTATTGTGCCTGCCTTGGAGGAGGGACAGAGGGTGGGCCATCTCCTCCTAAGGATGAGGAAGCACTCATCCACATTCCCGCCTCCAAATGGCCTTGTCCAGGGACAGCCCATGTTTTGGGGAGACAACCCCCCTTCATGCCCTGTGGCTGTCTCTGAGGGTCTCTATAGGGGTGGTCTACTCACTTGGAAGGGCAGGAAGAGCTCAGGAGAGGAAGAGATGCTTTGCCACCCAGCCCACCACCTCTCCTCCCTCCAGAGGCTCTGGCTGTAAGAAGCCACCCTTGTCCCCTGACTGTCTGGCCCACCCTCTGTGTCTGTACATGGCACTCGCTAAACACCATCAGTGTGCACAGCGGTGTGCGCGGTGCTGGGCCAAGAGCAGGATGGAGCACAAAACCAACACAGCTGCTGCCCACGGAGCCTCGCAGAGGAGCAGGAAGTGACCCAGTGACAGGGAAGCTCTGAGCCCCCAGGGTGCAGAAGCCACACCTGGCTCAGGTCCCAGCCCTGACCTTGCTACGCCATTATCTGACTGCTGGCTTTCCAGGTTTCATGTCTGTAAAACACGGGGACAGTCCCTACACAGGGAGGGACCAGCTGGAAGGACTTCATGAGGCTGGGGCCTGCCCCACAGTGGGCCACTGATGGTCCTGGGTCCTGGCCCTGGAAAGCCGAGGGCTGCATGCAGCGGGGTCTACTGAGCTTCACAGGGTCCCATCTCCACCCTCAGAAGGGGAAACTGAGGCTCAGGGAAGGAAGCCACATGGCCAAGGGCACACCTGTGAGGAAGAGTGGAGTGGGGAGTGCAGTGCACAGTGTGCTGCAGGCCCGGCCTGCTCCCAGGGTCAGACCAGGTCCTCGTCACCGGTGAGCACTGGCCACCGGGGCTAAGGAAGGGGCAGGCAGGGGTCACCACACGGGGCAGGGTCTTTCTGCCTTCACCCCCACACTGCAGAGGACAGGAGCAGACAGATGTCCCACCCCCAGCACATGGCTGGGTCCTCGCAGGGCCAGCGTGGATGGCCTTGACAGGCAGAGGGAACAGCTCTGCTGCTTGGTGCCTGTGCTCAGTGCCCGATGCCATAAAGCCTGATTAATACACCAACATGCAGCCCAATTATGCAAATTAATTTGAAGCAATTCCCAGGCTGGCTGGGCGCCAGCCTCCTCAGGACTGCAGCTCCCTGGGGTGAACGGGCCACTGGTTCTGCCTTCCAGGAGCAGGTGGCATCCGGGACTCCTACCCTCCAGGTCACGGTGAGGGTAGAAGGGGTGGCCCTCTAGGGGTCTCGTCCATTTTCATGGGTTTCAAGCCTTCACACTGCTCTGGCTGGTTCCAGAGTGGCACCCCTTGGGGGCAGGGTTGGTTCCATGAGTGTATGCATCTTTCAGTGCACATTGGGTGCTTACTGCATGCAGTGGTCACATGCTGTTGGCCAAGTGGGTGTGGCAGGCAATCTTGCTGAGCATCTGGATCACGGGAGGCAGATGGTAGTCAATAGCACACCTGCCAGGATTCATTGCAGATGGGGATCAGTGGCAGGAAGTGCAAGTGCCAACTTCTCTAGGCGCCAGTCTAGATTTAGGATCAGGGGAGGTTTCTTGGTGAGGGGACTTGAGTGGAGATTGGAAGGATGACCAACGAGTTCCATGTGCAGAAGGGGCAGCAGCATGTGCAGAGGCCCTGTGGTGGGTCTGTGGTGTGGTGAGGCAGTGGGTGCACTGTCGTCCATGCGGGAGTCGGGCGCTTGGATCCAGCCTCGCCCACAGGCCAAGCTGTGAGCTCAGGGCACAGGGCACAAGGCTGTGTCTGCCCAGAGGGGACGCTGCTTTCTAATTTCCTACCAACTCCTCACCCCGGCTGAAGCTGGTACCCTGTGTGACAGGCTGAGAGAAGGTCATTGTGGCCAGTAGAGTAGGACGCAGGACAGTGGACACGTGCTGTGGGTCTGTGGAGGTTGGCGGGGCCTAAGGGCTCACAGGAGAGAAGTGGTGGTGTCTTGGTCATTATGGAGGGTGGAGAAGACCCTCCAGATAATCCCAGGCTCATTCCTGGAGTTGGCTCCTCCCTCCTGGTCTGGAAGGGGTGGGGCTCTCCCAGGGCAGTGAGGATGATGAGGGAGGAGAGCAGCTGGGCCTCCTGGGAACCTGAGTGCCCTGAGAAGCCTCAGTAGCAGGAAAAGGCAGAGGGGCTTCACACCCAGGGGGAGGGGGAGGCCATGTGGCCTCAGAGGCAGAGACTGCAGTGCTTCAGGCACACTGTGCTTCAAGGACAGCTGGGCCACCTGAGGATGGGCCAGGAGGGAGGCTCCTCCCTGACCCTGGAGAGCCCCGCCCACCACTCCTTGAGTTCTCCAGTCAGAGCTGCTGGTTCCCAGCTGCTGGCCCCAGAACTCCAGAGAGGACAGGTCTCTGGTTTTAGTGGCCCCCCTGGGGGGGGGTCCTACAGCAGCCACAGGAAGGAGCACAGTCCCAGCTGCACCCTGAGCAGCTGCTGTACCCCCAGGGCTGGCCAGTGCAGGGGGCGGTGCTCAGGGGGATGGTGGGAGGCTTCAGCATCCAGCTGGCCAGGAGCGGGCGGGGCTGGGCCCTGTGGGATCAGGACAGGCAGGAGGGACTGCTAGACAGGGGTGTGTCAGAGACCTCCGCAGCAAGGGGACAGTGAGGACTCTGGGTGTCAGAAAGGTGCTGAGGACTACTGCATGCAGCAGGCGCCCTTTGAATGCTGGGTGGTGGGGTAGGGTGCTGGCAATTCCCCATCCTGGGAGGATTCTGCACGTGGCATCCAGAAACACAGAGACACGCGGCAGTGTCTTGGGGCAGACAGGAGGCCTTGACACCTTGCTGGGTAACTTTGCAACCTTGGCCAAGGGCTCTAGAGCATGCTGCCTCAGTTCCCTCGGGGACAATACCTAGTACCCAGCACGGGGGGTGGGGGACACTCACTCATTACATGTCAAGTGCTTGAGACAGCGCCCAGCCCAGAGCGAGATTAGAAAGCAAGAGACCTTGACTCCTGAGCTTCTCAGGACCCCATGTCGGGAGTCTCCACGGGAGGTGGGCAGAACGCACTGTGTGGCTGGCAGCAGGAGGTTTTGCAAGATGCCAATCAGTGGGACAGGACGTTTGTCCTCTGGACACCTCTACCACAGCCAGGAGGCCAGCTGCTCATGCAGAGGAGGCTGGTCACACGATGGACGCTTCAGACCCAAAGCCACCTGCCGCTCCCAGGAAGCCAGGGGGAAGCAATGCGTCACCACCCTGCTCTTCCTTGAAGTGCGTCTTGAAGGGCACCCAGTGGGGACGATGGAGAGGGTGGTAAATTCACTCTGTCTTTTACACATTACACTCCTTGCAAATGTAGCCTGGCTCTGATGGACATCCCCGCCCCTGCCCATGTCACTCAGGATAAAAGCCAGTGTTCACATGGCCAAGAAGCCCTGTGTCCCCCACTTCATCTCCACTCTCCCCTCACACCCTTGGCTCCAGCCACGCTGATGGGTTTACAGCTCCTCACACCAGCTGGTGGGCTCCCACCCCAGGACCTTTGCACTTGTGTTCACTTGGCCTAAAACCTTTGCACTCAGCATACCCACAGGCCTGTTCCCTCACCCTCAACCTGTTCCCATGCCACCTTCTTGGGGTTCTTCTGTCACCACCCATGGCAGGCTTTGTCCCTTCCTTGCCCCTTGCCCTCTTTACTCTTCTCCATAACATCCTTACCTATCTGACCCAGTCAGTGTCACCATCTGAGTATCGACTTTTGTCTGCTTTATCCCTGGACACCCACACTCTGCCCCAAGGACAGTGCCTGGCACTTCAATAAACAGTTGTTGAATGAGCACATTCACTGAGCATCTGCTTTACACCAGGCAGGTGTGGGTGGGGTTGGGACACCAGGAAGAGCAGGCAGAGGTGGCCTGATCCTTTGGGGTCTCTGAAGCTCTCCTGGACAGGAGCCCACAAGCCTGAGCCACGTGATCTCGCTGGAGTCCAGGCCTGGGGTGCCAGCATAGATTCCTGTGCCCACGCCTGGCATGGGCCCACGGAGCCAGCAGACCTCAGGGATGTCAGTGCTGGTTAAGTGGAACCACAAACAGAAGCCAGCTCACTTCACAGACAGGGACAGCCCCAGCTCTCCTGCACCCCTGCAGAGGTCAGGAGAGGCTCCCCAGTAGCCACTGGTAATCCCCAGCTCCCAGACAGGGTCCCGGGGTTGCATTTACTTGACTTTAAGGAAAGGTCCTAACATTTCTTGAAAAGACCTAGAAAGTGCTCCAAATCCCCTCCACAGCCAAACGAAGGCTGGCAGTCTCCACTACGACCAGCATCCAGTGGACAAGCAACAGAGAAGTCTGGTCACACAGCCCACAGCCAACGAGGGTCTGCACCCTGGGCCTGAGGACCTTGCCTATGCTCCTGCCCAGCCAGAGGCTCTCCTGGCAAGGGGTGGGGCGGTTTTCTGAGCTCTAAGCAAAGAGCCTTTGTGGCTGCCTCTGAGACAGAGAGGAACTCCAGAAGAGTGCTGCCCCCCAGGGCCTGTCCCAGGAGGCGAGGCTCAGAGCACAAGAACCCCTCAGAGCAAGGTATTATCTACCACAGTTACCGGATGCTGCCCTGATAATGGAGAACCACGCATTTCCCACAGTGCACTCCGACGTCCCAACACAATCAGGGCTCTGCACTCTGAGTACTTCACTGCTCCAGCACTTTCCTCTCAGTGGCAAGGGGTCCATCCAGCTGGCCATGGCTGGGGACGAACCCGCCTCACAACTGTCAGCTGCCCTTTCTCAGCATCAAGGCCAGGTGCTTCTCAGGTGACCCAGAGATCCAGGGCAGGAAGCAGTATTCTCAGAGGGACCTTTGAACATGTTATTGATTCCAGCGTGGAACATATCCAACATCCTTCTGCAGCTGTGATTACTGTGCAGCCCGGGGTCCTAATTGACTCAGACGCTGGGTGGTGGCCTGGCTTTCCTGAGACCTAGAGCAAGCTAATGCATTCCACCAGACCAGAGATGCTCAGCCTGGGCTCCCCTGGGACTGCCTGGAGCGCTCTGAGAGATACTGACGCCTGGGCTTCCTCTGGAAAGATTCTGGCCTGATGGGTCTGGGGCAGGGCCCAGCCGTGGGAGTTTGGGAAAGGTAGCAGGGTGGTTGCCGCCTGCAGCAGGCCGAGACCCCGAAGTGCAGGCTGGTGCTTCCCCAATGGTGGGGGACCCCAGAATCGTGGAGAGCTCATCAGGAATGAGTGGCTGGCCCCTGCCTGTAGCTTCTGGCTCAGCGGGTCTAGGATGGGCCTGAGGATAATCTGCATTGCTGAGAAGTTCCCCAGGGCCCCTGAGGCTGTGGTGCAGGGCCATACTCTGAGGACTCTAAACAATCTGTGCTTCTCTACAGGGGTCTCTGGAAACATCTGGAGACATTTCAGGTCGCCACAGTGGGTGGGTCAGGGGGAGGTGGAGATGCTGCTCAGCCCCCCAGTGGGCAGCTGCTCCAACAGAGAATTGTCCAGAACAGGAGGCCACAGGGCTGAGGCTGAAGAGTGAGCATTAGACCAATCCAAGTTCCTGACTGGGGTTGACGAACTGTGTACTTGGCTCACCTCGAGCATCTCCTTTGTTGCTGCTCTCTATGGCCTGTCTCTCCTTTATGGGGTCTGTGAGCTGTGGGTGCCCTGGGACGGCAGCAGGGGATTTGATCTCAGTCCTGCCTCTGACCTGGCGGCCTTCAGCCCTCTCTGGCCAGTGCTCCTTCAGCTGTGGAAGGGGACATCCCAGCCCCTCGCTCCTGGAGCTGTGGCCCACAGAGCCCCTGCCCCAAGGCTGGCACCCATCTCTCGTGCTGTGCTCCATTCCCAAGGAAGAGCTGCCATCTAGGTGTCGGAGACTCTGAAGCCTAGTGCTCCAGCCCTGTCCTCCCTCAACCCCCCAGGTCCCCAGGACCACATTTCCAGCAGGGCTGGGGACTCACCCTTCACTGTCCCCTTGTTCAGCACCTCTGTCCAGGGCCCCCATCCTCACCACCCCCCCCAAGCCTGCCCATCCCACCCAACAGAAACTCCGGTGTCTCCCAGGAGTCCTCCTCACCCTCCCAGCTCTGGATTGTCCCCTGAAGTCTTCCTCCTGCCCTCCACCAGCCTCACAGCCACTGTCCTAGGTCAGGTGTCATGATCTCTCCCCTTGACTGCTGCAGAAAGGTGGTCTCTGGGCGGTGCTGATCAGCACACCCTTCCCTTGCTTGAAGCCCTTTGGTCACTCAACGGCCTGAGGGTCAACCCAGGGTCCTGAGCCCAGTGGTCACCCTCCCTCTGGCTCTTCCCTCTGTGACTTAATCTGCTTCTGCTCCTGATGCTCCTTGTGCTTTGGGGCTTTGGCTAGTGCCGTCCTGAGCCCGGAGGGGTCCCCCCACCTTGCCTCTCTCTTTCCTGGTTCTCCCCAGGTCTCTCTGCAGGCAGGCTGTGGCTTGTGGCTGAGCCACTTCCGCTGACCTGCCCTTGCCTCCGCACTCACCCACGGTGCTAAACACCGTGCAGCAGAAGAAGAGCGCGCTCAGGAAGGTCCAGTCTTCCGGCTGGTGCAACCACTCGGGGTTCATGGTCTGCAGGTGTTTCCGCACGTGCTGTGTCTTGCCTTCTGCAACTAGAGAAAGAGAGGAGAGTGAGGCTGCCCTTCAAGACAGCACTGCCCAAGCACAGGGACCGGCAACCCTGTCCTGTGGTCCCCATTAACACCAAAGCTTGGCCCTCGGGCCCTCCTGCTCGCCTCTAGACCGTTTCTGCTCCTCAGGTCCCTGGGCCCTGTGGAGAGCAGAGAGCCACACAGCCCCATGACAGGAGCCCTAAGAGAAAGGCCCTGTGCCCGCTGGAACTGCTTGGCAGCCTCGGGGAGCTTCCTTAACTTCCGGAACCTCCCTTCCTTTTACGTTTCAAAGAGGGACAAACCTTCTTGCTCTGTCTCTGTTGGACCTGAAACCAAAAGGCTCTCTGGACACCTGGCTGAATCCCGATGCAAATTACGCCCCTCACCATGGAGCATATGGGCTTTGGTGATCACACTGGGTCCTCTGGCACCAGGTGCCCTCCCTTATGGGCTGGGAAGCCTAGGGTTCCCTGCATTGGCCCCTGGGCCAAGAGGGCAGAGTGGCAACCCTGGCTTCTTGGAGTGGTTCCTGGGTAGTTCTGTGGGCCTAGGCACCAGTGGGCTTTGGGAGCCCAGAAGATGCCACCAGAGGTACCGTCGGAAGAGAATGGCCCATGGAGGATTTGAGCACCAGCTGACCGGCACCCGCCTCGGAGTCCCCACACCTGGGTTCCAGGCTCAGCTCAGATTCTGCCGCAGAAAAGGACAGGAGGCTGCTCTCAGCCTCCCACGTGGGAGGCAGCACAACACGGCAGTGACAGGTTCAGACTCTGGAGTCCAGGTGCCTGGGGCTGAATCCCTGGCTCCTTTTTTTCTAGTTTGTGAACTTGGACAAGTTGTTTAACCTCCCAGTGCCTCAGTTTCCTGATCTATAAAAGGGGACCATTCACAGGCTGGGGCTGGGGCTCAGTGGTAGAGCGCTTGCCTGGAAGATGTGAGGCACTGGGTTCCATTCTCAGCACCACATAGAAATAAAAAATAAAGGCCCATCAACAACTGAAATGGATAAATAAATAAATAAATGATTTTTTAAGGGGGGGGGACATTCAGACCCTGTGTAAGGGGTTCTCAGGAGGATTTAGAGGGACACTGTGTGAAATGGGATTAGCCCAGGGCCTTCACTTATGGAGTGTTTTAATATCCAATGAAAATCAGTACAAAATGAAGCTGGGCCAGCTCTGTGTTCCTAGCCCTTGCTGTGCCTGGGAATCACTGGGAAAACCTTTTAAAAATAAGGTTTCCAGCCACCCTTGCAGATCCTGTTTGAGTGAGTTTGAGAAAGAGCCTAAGAATAGGCTCCCTGAATAATTCTGATGCGTGGGCTGGTTAGGAGAGCCTTGCACTTGCTGGAGTCCAGTCCTTGTGGTGGCTCCAAGTGTCCAGCAGGGGCCATGGCATCTCCCAGTACACAGGGTAGGCCTGTGTCTGTCTGCAAGGGAGCAGGGCCCTCCACAGAGGGGATGCTTCCCACTTGGGCCAGTGAACGCACCTGCTCCCAAAGCAAGGCCAGCCGTGGGAGGGGCAGAGAGCCCAGGGCTGAGGCCGGCTCCCGGGGACGGAGGCAGAAGCTCCCGCCACCCTGCTCCTGCCCTGGCCTCTACAGCTTGTTCTTCCTTTGTCTTGAACTTATTTCCTCTCTCTTGTTTTCTCTTGCTCTGTTGAATACACCTCTGTAAGCTTCCTTTGGGGAACAAGAGTAGAAACAAGAGATTCTGCACAAGGGGAGAGAACACCTGTAAAGTGTGTCTGTCTGCCAGAGGCTTCCCGTCCCTGAGCTGCTGTGCCTCCCACGGGGTCCCTGAGATTGGCAGGTCTCGGGTCTCTCCAGGAGACAGGCAAAGCTGGCAGGGCAACAGCTGAGACGGGCCCCAGGTTCTCCTGGTGACCCCTCCCCTCCCCAGCCCCACAGCAAGCAAGGCCTTTGAAACTGGAAATAGGGGAGTCAGGCAGGCTGCTGGCTCATCCTAGGGATCCAAGCCCAGCTTGGACGATTCCTTGAATTCTAGTCCCAGGAAAAAAATCTCAGGTCAGGCTGGCATAGTTCTGAGGAGCAGCGGAGGAAGCCCCCGCTCCACCTCTGCCCCCCTCCAGCCCAGACCGCCAGATCTCCAGGCATCCTCCTCCCCAAAGCCTGGGAGGCTGGGTGGAGCTGGGAGCAGCCTTTGCAGAGTATCCGGAGGAGACTCAGTGCTCTTCCCACCTTCTTTGCAGCACCCGGAGAATCTATTAATCTCCCAACTTCCAAGGGAGAAACTGGAGGCTCAGAGAGAAGTCTTTTGCCTAAAGTCGCTCAGGAATTGGGAGAACACAGGCAACAGCTCCCAGACCCAGCCTGCTCCCAGGGAGCTGTCTTCACCCAGGGGGAAAGGCTGCCCCGCCCAGGGAGGCACCTACCTGTCCCATTGCATTCCAGGATGCCACACAACTCGTGCAGGAAGGCCTTGAACACCTCTTCATCTTCTGGCCTCAGGACTGGGCTGCCCTCAATGGCAGAGAAGAGCGCAGCACCTACCAGTGCATAGGTCACCAGGCAGCAGAGGAAGCAGAGGCCAGGGAAGAGCTTCCCCATGGCCTCTGGGCAGCACCACCTGGCCTGGGGCGGCCCCTCGGCCTCCATCCTCCTAGAGCATGCAGGACAGGGCAGAGCAGGAGGAGCCTGGGCAGGAGGCTGGAGCATCCAGGCCCCGACAGGGGGAGGACGGTGGGAGTGGCAGGAGAATGGCCAGGCTCCAGCACTAAGTGCATGGTGTGTGGCTTCCCCCAGGAAGTCGGGAAGCAGTCTTGCTGTGTGGGAATTACTGACTGCGCTCCTGCTGGCCGCCCCACCCCCAAGTTTCTACAGATCCTCCTGGGCAGCCTGGAGCTGCTGGCAGGGGCTTTGGAAGGGCGACATGGGTATTGTCTTCGGCTTTGTTTGGCCTTTGCCATCCTGAAACCACAGTTTCCACTTCCAAGTACCAAACCCAATTTTTTTGTGTTTTGTAAGGAACTGTCATCCTTCCTGAGGGTGTGCCTGGTCTCCCAGACAGGCAGCGATAACCGCGCAGCCAGGGTGCTATTTCCAGGGGCCTTATCATGTGTGGGTCTAGTTATTGGCCCCCTCTCCTCACTGTCTGTAAGGGAGGGAGGAATGGCGAATGCCTCCTGCCCACTCAGAACAAGACTGGATGTTTCCATGCGCTGGGAAAGGAAGGGGGAAACCTTGACCAGACCTCGGACCTCACCAGGAGTCTACACGGAATGGAGCACAGGTGTAAGTGTAAAACAAAAACCCCAAATCTTTCTAGATGAAAACAATACCTAGGGCACCCACCCTGGGCCTGCAGAGACCTCTGACAGGACCTCACGAAGGAGGCTGGGTGCAGATGGGGTGGAGGGGGGTGCACAGGCAACTGGCGCCTTCCAGGCTTGGAGACGGGGCTTCCTCCCATCCTCAGTGCAGCAGGGGAGCGGTGCAGTTCATTGCCTCCGTGTCAAATTGAAACAGGTGCAAGTGCAGGCCCCCACTGCCTTCCACCCCAAGCTCCGGGCTCTCTGCTGGAGTGGAAGTTTCCTTTTGAACTCTGCCTCATGACCGATGCAGCAGGTGGACCTAGCCCCCATGATCAGCCACTGAGACACCTCATCCAGTGATCTTCCCCCAAAGGTGGTTGTTGGCCTTGCAGGTCCATGGGGTGCTGCGGAGCCTGCCCACCCTGCTCAGGAAGCCAGAGGGAGAGGCAGGAGACTCATAGCTGTCAGGGGGCCCAGATTCCTGGCGGCTCTGGCTAACACCATGTGCCCGGCTGTGTGCTAAGGTCATGATGATGGTGGTTAATCGAATCCCGATTCCTGGAGCCTCCTGCAGAGGGAAGGCATTTGGAGAGAGGGAGGAGGGACCACACCATATCCCTGCTTTGTCTGTGTCTCCAGTCCCCAAGCTGAGGAGGAATGCCTATGTGTAAGTCACCCAGAGCCCAGCAGGGCCAGGGCGTGGGGAGGAGCTGTCCCTCCAATCATTCAAAGGGCTCTGGGGACCCTCAAAGCCACAAACCCTCCTCGGGTTGCTCCTGTGAAGCGTGGGCTCCTGGGTCACGGGGGGGATGGAACCGGGATGTGAAGATGCCTGCCTTCCTCATCCGGCCTTCCTCCCTCCCCACTTCCTCCTTTCTTTCTTCTTCTCTCCCTCCCTTCTGTCCCGAGTTTCTCCACAGATGCTCCCCGCCTCCCCAAGCACCAGCACACGGCAGGGGTGACTCTGGTGGCACTTTGCACTGACAATGCGCCAGCATCTTGGAGGATGAGTGCCTCACAACGAGGCAGATGCGCTCATCCTTTTCCCATTTCACGCGGGGACCCTGAGGCAGCTGCAGGTCAGCGGCTGTGAGATCACACAGCACTTGTGCATCGGAGCCCAGGCCACCTGGCCTTACCCCGACCCTGCACTGTTCCCTCTGTCCCTGACCTTCTGTGTCCCCAGCACACAGAACCAGACTGGTGCTCCCTGTCCTGTGGGGCTCTGGTGTGGCCCAGGAAGGGCCAGGGAAGGACGAGCCCACAGCCCCATAAACACCCAGCAGCTTGGGACTGTGTCAGGTGAAACAGAATGGGAGGGGTCCTGATTTCTCTGGGAGGGGTGGAGGGTTCCCTGTGGAGGTGACATGTGGCCTGAGGTCTGAGCACCACTAGTGAGGCACAGAGGGTGAGGAACTTCCCCCGCAGAGGAAGCAACCCAGGCAAAGCTCGGGGCTTAGTGGTCCCTTGGAAGAGACCACTGCCCTGGGGAGGGAGGACAGGGCAGAGTGTGGTGGAGACCCTGGTTGGGGAGTGAGGCCTCCAGGGCTGGGAAAGGGCTGGTCTTATGCCTGGACTCCATGTCCCTGGGCCGGCACTGAGATCACTGTGGTAAGGGCCTGCTCCAATCTGGCCTGCCCACCGCTGGTTCCCTTTGGAGGTCCAGCAGGGTGGGCTGGGCGGGAGGGGCCAGAGGAGGTGGAGGTGGTGGGACGCCTCAGGCAGAGCTGTCCCCAGGAGCGTGGTTGCTCACTAGTTTCGGTCCCTCCTGGCCATGGGGATTTCTCCAGCACTGGGTTTTCTCCATCCTGCTCAGTGGATCACAAGATCTACACCTCTCAACATGGCCAGGTCTCAAAGGGAAAGTGCTGCCCATCCCCTTCTATGGGACAGGTAAGCATCTCTTCCTGGAGGCCTCCCTTTGGGCCTGCTTTCCACAGCCAAAAAGTTTAGACAAAATAAGGGCTTTCGGGTGAGCAAATTGATCTCTCCCTGGCCTGCAGGAGGGGAGCAGTGGCACTGCAGGAGGAACAGGGGAGTGGCCGTGGAGTGCCACCAGACTCTACTGCCTTGTGCTCCAGGAGCAATGTGCAGACCCACGAGCTGCAAGGGACCTGTGGCTGCTGCCTTTACTCCCCCGATGCCAATACGGGCATGGGCAGGGAGGGCACAGAGCATAAGGACAGAAGGCAAGCACTCAGCCAGTGCCAGCCTGGGGACAGGGGCTCTGTGGGCCTGGACACAAACTCTTAATGTAGTCCAGGAGCGAGGGGCTGGGATGTCCCCTTCCACAGCTGAAGGAGCACTGGTCAGAGAGTGCTCAAGGCCACCAGGTCAGAGGCAGGACTGAGATCAAGTCCCCTGCTGCCGTTCCAGGGCACCCACAGTTGATGGAACCCATAAAGGAGAGACAGGCCATAGAGAGCAGCAACAGAGGAGATGCTCGAGGTGAGCCAAGTACACAGTTCGTCAACCCCAGTCAGGATCTTGGATTGGTCTAATGCTCGCTCTTCAGCCTCAGCCCTGTGGCCTCCTGCTCTGGACAATTCTCTGTTGGGGCAGCTGCCCACTGAGGGGGTTGAACTGCATCTCCACCTCCCCCTGACCCACCCACTGTGGCGACCTGAAATGTCTCCAGATGTTTCCAGAGGCCCCTGTTGAGAAGCACAGATTGTTTAGAGTCCTCAGAGTGTGGCCCTGCACCACAGCCTCAGGGGCCCTGGGGAACTTCTCAGCAATGCAGATTATCCTCAGGCCCATCCTAGACCCGCTGAGCCAGAAGCTACAGGCAGGGGCCAGTCATTCATTCCTGATGAGCTCTCCACGATTCTGGGGTCCCCCACCATTGGGGAAGCACCAGCCTGCACTTCGGGGTCTCGGCCTGCTGCAGGCGGCAACCACCCTGCTACCTTTCCCAAACTCCCACGGCTGGGCCCTGCCCCAGACCCATCAGGCCAGAATCTTTCCAGAGGAAGCCCAGGCGTCAGTATCTCTCAGAGCGCTCCAGGCAGTCCCAGGGGAGCCCAGGCTGAGCATCTCTGGTCTGGTGGAATGCATTAGCTTGCTCTAGGTCTCAGGAAAGCCAGGCCACCACCCAGCGTCTGAGTCAATTAGGACCCCGGGCTGCACAGTAATCACAGCTGCAGAAGGATGTTGGATATGTTCCACGCTGGAATCAATAACATGTTCAAAGGTCCCTCTGAGAATACTGCTTCCTGCCCTGGATCTCTGGGTCACCTGAGAAGCACCTGGCCTTGATGCTGAGAAAGGGCAGCTGACAGTTGTGAGGCGGGTTCGTCCCCAGCCATGGCCAGCTGGATGGACCCCTTGCCGCAGAGAGGAAAGTGCTGGAGCAGTGAAGTACTCAGAGGGCAGAGCCCTGATTGTGTTGGGACGTCGCAGTGCATTGTGGGAAATGCGTGGTTCTCCATTATGCAGGGCAGCATCCGGTAACTGTGGTAGTCAATACCTTGCTCTGAGGGGTTCATGTGCTCTGAGCCTCGCCTCCTGGGACAGGCTCTGGGGGGCAGCACTCTTCTGGAGTTCCTCTCTGTCTCAGAGGCAGCCACAAAGGCTCTTTGCTTAGAGCTCAGCAACCCCCACCCCTTGCCAGGAGAGCCTCTGGCTGGGCAGGAGCATAGGCAAGGTCCTCAGGCCCAGGGTGCAGACCCTCGTTGGCTGTGGGCTGTGTGACCAGACTTCTCTGTTGCTTGTCCACTGGATGCTGGTCGTAGTGGAGATTGCCAGCCTTCGTTTGGCTGTGGAGGGGATTTGGACTCCAAGAGCACTTTCTAGGTCTTTTCAAGAAATGTTAGGACCTTTCCTTTAAGTCAAGTAAATGCAACCCCGGGACCCTGTCTGGGAGCTGGGGATTACCAGTGGCTACTGGGGAGCCTCTCCTGACCTCTGCAGGGGTGCAGGAGAGCTGGGGCTGTCCCTGTCTGTGAAGTGAGCTGGCTTCTGTTTGTGGTTCCACTTAACCAGCACTGACATCCCTGAGGTCTGCTGGCTCCGTGGGCCCATGCCAGGCGTGGGCACAGGAATCTATGCTGGCACCCCAGGCCTGGACTCCAGCGAGATCACGTGGCTCAGGCTTGTGGGCTCCTGTCCAGGAGAGCTTCAGAGACCCCAAAGGATCAGGCCACCTCTGCCTGCTCTTCCTGGTGTCCCAACCCCACCCACACCTGCCTGGTGTAAAGCAGATGCTCAGTGAATGTGCTCATTCAACCATTGTTTATGGAAGTGCCAGGCACTGTCCTTGGCACAGTGCGGGTGTCCAGGGACAAACAGACAAAAGTCGATACTCAGATGGTGACACTGACTGGGTCAGATAGGTAAGAGGAA